TCCTGCCGCACCGAGGGGTCTTGGGGGAGACTCAGGGCCCGCTGCCTCCTCCGGGCCCTCGCGCAGGTCCCGATACGGCCGGCGGGGGAGCTGGGCCACGGCTGGGCCTGGAAAGCCGGCTCCCCCGCGCCTGCCGGGACCGGCTGAGCCCAGGCCGGGTGGAGAGCGCTCTGGGGATTTTGCTGGTGAGGCTGCTCGCTGCAGCAATAACCTTTTATGGTTCCCAGCCAGAGGGACGTTAGGCAACTGCAATTCCTAATCTGCTTAATGTTCTCTGAAAGCAAACAGTGCGTGCTCTTGAGAGCGTCACTCTGTCATCTCGTCTCCAGCTGCACCCCGGCCAAGGTGGGAGCCACTGCGGGGCCTCCAGGCACCTGCTGAGCGGTGCTGGGCTCAGCCTCCTCCCTGCGAGCCGAGCCCGGGGGGCCGGCGCAGCCTCGAACTCCTGGCCTGTCTGAAGGGGGCTGAAGTTCAGGGGCACCGGGGTGGGCTGCTCGGTTTGCCCAAAGGGCCGAGGGGAGGAAGGTCGGGGCACGGAGGCACCGGTGGGCGAGAAGCCAGGCCCAGCCTTGGCCAGCTCTGCTCGCTCTGGCGAGGGCAGCCCCTAGGCCGCCCAGAGCCCCTTCGGAGCCGAGCTCCTGGGGCAGCGGGACATGGGTTGGGGGTGTCTGGCACTCCTAGCCCCTGTCTCCTTTCGGCTTCGTGAAGTCGGTTGGACCTGCCCGGCCCCTCGTTTTGCCCTGCTTGCGCACGGCCCGGCCTGGCCCTCTCCGTGGTCCTAGCGTGGAAGGAGTCCGGCGAGGATCGAGCAGGGGGCTTCGTTCTTCCTGCCCGGCTGCTCACACATTGCCTAAAATGGTCTCCCCGGAGCAGGGGCTCCTCCACGCTGCTGCAGGATGCGCCCGGCACACGAGCTGCCCGGGGCCAGTCTGATTTATCGAGTGCTGAGCAGGAGCCTGAGCACAGGGAGGAGGCATGCTGGCCTCGGCTGGAGAACTTGCGCTGTCTTGGGCTTGTGTCTCCATCCGGCTCCCAGCTCGGGGTGGCACAAGGAGAGGCAGAAACCTGCCCAGACCCCAGGGACCTGCTGCCCTTGAGCCTGGCAAACCCCTCCCGCTGGGCAGGGACCTGCCGCCCGCTCGGGGCTGCAACTCCTGTCCTGGGCTGGAGGCTGATGCCTCGTTTGGGTGCCAGCGACTTGGCCCTGACTCTGGCTCGGGGCTTGTACCCACGCAGGTCTGGGCCCGGTCGCAGGGGCCTTGCTGCCCTGGGGTGCTCCGGCCATGTGCCCTCAGAGCCGAGCCCCTGCTTTGACGGGCACTCAGAGGCAAGAGGCCTCCTTTCTCCTCCCCTGTTGTGAGCGAGGGCCTGTCCTAGCCCCTTTCCTGCCCCGAGTCTTTCTCAATGACTTTTATCAGCTGCTTTGTCATGACTGCCCGTGCTGCCTGCAGCCGGCTCGGTGCAGGCACATGATGCAGCCTGGGGGAGAGGTTGCCTTCACTCCTGCTGCTGCCTGTTGGACACGGGGTGGGCCAGGGCAATCCCATGACTGTAAACGAAACCCTCCGGCACCTTTAGGGGATGCTCATGGTGGAAGCCTCTTGCTAATAGCGAAACTCAGCTTGGTTGTCCCTGCTGTGTGGAACTTCTGCAAAAATGTTTGGGTTTTTTCCCACATGACTCAACTGAAATGCCTTGGAAAAGGGCACAAATAACTCGTGCATGCTGGAAAGCAGGTGCCCCAGGGGTTGGTAGCCGGGGGTAGTCCGCAAAAGAAGTACAGAGTTCTCGAGAGCCGGGAAGGAAAGGTCCCAGCCACGAAGGAGCCGGCGCTTCGCTCTCCTCTGGGTTTCCTGCTGTCGGCCCTGCACCGTCTTCCATGACGGGCAGCAGACGGTGGGTCTGAGTTGCGACTCTCCCCGGAGGCTCGCGCTGCTCCCAGCTCGGCGTCCTCCCCGCACCTCGCCTGCGAGCCCCCCGTTCCCTCCGGCCCCCGGGGTGGAGCTGGCCCCGGACACGGCTGGGCTTCCCCCCTCCCAGGATACGTTCCTTGAATGTGTCACCTCTGGCCGGTGGCGCTGAAGCGCCCAGACCCCAAAGCAGGGCAGGGGCCGGCACTTCCCATCGCCCTGTGCAGACAGCACCCGGTGCGCGCTGCCAGTGCTGGAGAGGGCCGGGCTGGGAATCCCGCGCTTGCCGCCGTCTCCACGGCTTGTTTTCCTCCTTGGTTCCCCGTGGTGCTGTGGACATCCTTGCAGAGCAGATCTGCCCCGCGGGTGCCTGTTCGGCCTCCTCTGGCCCTCGGCTCTCATTCTTTGCCCTTCCAGCGTGCGGTGCAGCACGTGGGCCAGGAGCCCGACAACCGCCCCACGTGCCCCGTGCCAGAGACATCTGCCTCCATGTATTGGGCAACAGCTCCCGCTTGCCACCCGGCTTGTTACACAGCAAGGGCTTTGGTCGGCTGGACGACGCGCTGCAACGCAGGTCGGGTCTGGGCCTTGGCTTGTGTCTCGTCACGTTGAGCCCGCCATGCGCAGTCAGCTGGTGGCAGGAGGTGGCCGTGCCCCGTGCAGGCGGGGTCCTGCCCACGGCGCCCTGCGCAGGAAGCAGGCGTGGGATCTGTGTGACAAGGGCTGGCAGGGCCCCTTGCAGGCTGTGGTCCAGCCCCAGGCTGCCCCACGACAGGGCTGTGCATCCCTCAGGCCTTGTGCAGAGCCCTGGGCATTGCACCCCATCCGGCTCCTGGCCCTTGCCCAGGAAACGTGCTGCTGCCTGGCGTGCCCTGGGCCGGGGCCAGCACCACACGCTGTCCGTGCAGGGGCAGGGCAGCTCTGCAGTCCTGTGCCCCGGGGCAGGGGCCTCTGCTGCATCAGCTGCCTGCCCAAGCAGGACGTGCGGAGCTCCCTGTTTCCCACGGGGGAGCCTGCGGCTGGCTGGACCCCAGGCTCGCGGCCCTCGCAGGGCCTTGCCTTGCTCCGAGGGGCAGGGATGGGAAAGCCTTTGGATCTTCATGCCCTTGGCTGCCCTGGGGCGGGGATCTCAGCCCTGTCCGTGGCCT